AGAGTCTAAGGTTCTATCTATAAGACCTTAACGGTAAATACTGCACTCCTACATCCGTTCTAGGAGTACCATTTTTACAGCAGGAAGCGCAGGGAGGATTTGGAAAGTAAACAAATTGTTTGCAGTGTTTCTAGGTATTTTTAAATCAGCTGAGCAGGTGTTCAAGAAATTATTTTAATTTTTGAGGGGCACTTGTAGGAAAGAGAGTCGACTAACTATAATAACATGATATGAATTTCCAACCAAATGAGGTCTGGTAGCAGAACTGGCAAGGGCTCAATAAACAATTTATTGGTAAGGAGAGGGCCATTCTCAATGGAGAGGGATAGTAAAAAAAATGACATCGATATTTTCATAACTACTTGGCTCTCGAACGCCATTTGGCCAGTTGCGTCTAGTCTGGCTTTGGCTAGTCGTCTTCGGTTGCATACCATATTTTAAATCCATTATTCTGGAAATCGATAACACATAAGGTCCACGTTTGCCCGCTCAGGTAGCCATTATCCTCTATCCGAATCAAGGTCGAAAAGTATTTGGCCATCCAGAATTTTTCACTAAAATCTCCCGAAACCACAAGCAGTAGAAGTTTGTTGTGATTGTGCAGTATCGAGCTCAAGATTAATCTATTTTCTATACATAAGGGAGGGGTTTAAGGCGCATTTCCCAGAGTCGCCCGCGACCTTCGAAGCGACAGTGCGCTTTGTACATGGTTGCGCTTTATGCTCCAGAAAACAGGTAATTGATGGCAGTGCACTTTCACTTCTTTTCAGCTTCGAAATCTTCCGGCCAATGGATTGAAGAGTGTGATCACCTTTTCAAGTACACTGAACAGTGCCAAACAGCTGATAGAAGCGTCATAGTGCGTGCCTACATCGATGTCCTCGAGCATCACTGGGTACGTCCTATACATCGACATCGACATTCTTGTTTTATAATTCTTGGAAACTGCCGCGATTGTTTGTGTAATGACGTTTTCATGACCACCCTAAGGTTCTTGAACCGGAATCTGGCTCTCAGTTCTAAGGTTGTCCCATTCTTTCGGCTTCACTGGAAGTAACAAAGCGATGCGGCCTTCATGAGTGTCACATCTGGCGTCTTCTTAGTTTGCCATCCCATTAGAAGTCAAAGGCTGTTGTCTGTCATGAGTTCAGTTCTTACACCACATTTTTCGTTTTTTTTTGTTCACTGTTACATTTTGTTAGGATGACGCGTAAAAACAATTATTGACCCCAAACGGGCAGGATCGCTTTGTTGGCATAAAAGAGTAGGCTGGATATCTCGTCCAGAGAAGCTGCCAGGTCCTTACCGAGGGGCCATTTTTCGCTCTTCTCACTTAGCGCTATAGGTTTGTAATTGAACACCAGTATCCCCAATATATTAGGTTGTCCCAAAAGTTCGTGGAACTTTCGAACATTTTTTCGAGTTAAGTTTATTCCAGTGGGAAGCAATTTTGATCAACTATATATATGTCACCTTCATTGGCAACTTGTTGCCAATCACTACGCGTGTGGTTGGCCCTGCTTCCAGAAGCCTCTTGGTTCTGTGCCCAGAAAGGCAGCTGGGTCATTTTTGAGGTACTATCAAAAATCGTATTTACCAGAAGATGGCCGCTGTGGGATTAGTTTAGATGGCAATCGGAAAGAGCTGAGTCAGGGCTACACGAAGACTGCTGGGATCTCGAGTAGTGTCGTTTTCCAAATGTGTGGTCCTGAGCTGTGGTGGAGTAGGCAAACATTGCTCGGAACCATATCTAGCTATTTTCAACCCCCCCCCCTTTGCACTTTATTACAATAGGGTTCGTAGGTTACCACAGCGCTGAGAAGAAGAAATTCCGTTATGGGAAGGGAGAAAGAAACCCCACCACGTACACAGTCTCACCGCCCTACTGGATTGATAGGATTGCGCGATCGGTTCCGCATTTCCGGGGATCTAGCCGCTGGCGCTCCCAGGAGTGATTCATCCTAGAGGCACCCACTCCATATCCAGTTACAGTGCTGTTCAACCAGCCCGTACAGCGGAAGCGGGAGAAAAGTTGTAGACAGTACCCACATGTGCTCCCCTTGGAGTACTGGTCAACTCATGAGAAAAATTTTGACCGAACTTCAGAACTTTTCTAAGGGAGCGAGGCCCTCTCTCATTTGTGCTTTGGGACCAGTCAAGTGTAAGGACTAGATAGCAAGTTGATTTGTACGTATTGGTTTTAATCAAGGAACACAGTAGGTCCAAATCCAAGGCAGGTGGCCTCCTTGGACGAAGTTTTTCACCCGGATAGAAGTCACTAAAGCGGAAGCAATTGAGCCATTCCAAAGCCGTACTGTGGAAGGTAACATCAAGATCTAAATAAGGGAAATGCCGCTTATGGCTCCAACGTTGTGGCTTGGTAGAGATTCATATAGCGAAGTGTGTCGAAAATGATGAATTTCAATTACCGTTTTTCATATGAGAACAGCGACTGCGAGGGACGGTGAAGAAGCTGTGGATTTACCTCACACACTTCCCATAGACCACATAACTAGCTGCGGAAAGATCGAAATGGCTGCGGAAAGATCTGATACGAGATTCAGAAAATGTCCACGAACTTTTAGGACAACCTAAAACAATCGCGGAGTTTTCTTCAACTGCTATTAACTGAACTTTATGCTTTTTATAGAAAAGTTCTCATACACTCAAAACCAAACTGCTGGACACGATGGAAATTGGTCTGAGAATCTGTCCCTATGACAGCTCTATCATCCGTAGGTGGGTTTCATTTGTTGGGTTCCGTGTGTTTTTCTCCCTATGTTGACCTGTTGGCGTCGGCCGTCGGCCTCTTCGTTCACCTGCTTGAGGCAGGGTTCATACTCCGCAACTGCAGCCGCGATCGTGGCGATTGTCACGGTGCTGATCGGGGTCTCACATCTTCGTAAACACGATGGCGTGATGATAATGTAGCAGGTCGCCGGACAGAGCGACCGCATCGCAAGTTTGGTGCACCCGATGTCCTTTCATAATTGGCATAAAAGTGTAAGTCGCTTTCGTGAAGAACCATCCTGGTTCTTTCTCGTTCCCAACCGCTTGCTCGCTCAATGAAGATGTCGTTCTCCCCTGCCGAGAGAACAGAAATTGCATTCATTCGAGTTTCTCAACTTTTTTTGAAGTCGACTTGGATGAATACTTACCTTCCTTCCTTTTTGCACGAGTTTCATCGATATCATTTGTTTCATACTTGTATATCAATGAAATGGGGCAATCCGTATAACGAGGCAACAGGTAGACTACAATAGGTGTCGGGCACAACCTAACACGCAAAACATAATAAAGTCAAGAAAAAATTTTTGGACGTAATTTTTTTAGTAGTCGATGGCCCTGATCGCGATTTTCACATTTGTTTTCGGCCCAACGTAATCTGGCGCCAGGGTAGCGCTACAATCCCTTATGTGCGCCTGCCTAAGGCATTCGTTGGAAGAAATACATGGCTCCATCTTGGCGTTAAATGGTATCATAGCTATAAGTGAGTGCCATATTCGTGATTAGGGTATTGACTAACCTATGAAGATCAACTTCCAGCTACGATCTTGCTTAATGGTATGTAAAACCTGAAATAATTGAATAGCACCGATTCATGGACATCTCCAGTCTGTCCATGAATGGCAGTTATACGGCTTATATTCTTGCACGGACATCTATCGACGGAAGGAAAGCAAAGGCTAAAAAGGCAAAAGTTTGCGGTCTGCGGGGAATCGCTTTACAACCCTACCAATGCGCCCGAACGAGAACCTCATGCGCTATCCACTAGGCCATCCGATCACCGATGAACCTGCAGCTCCGAAAATTGAAGAACCCATCCTAAGGAACCATTCACTCCTAGCGCGTGATTAAGTAAAACTCCATTTACGACGGCCTTTCACTCCCTTTTCAATAGTCCCCTCAAGAGGGCCCTGGGTGGTTGAAAGTTGCTAGTGATTTATAGCACATAGAGGCCTAAAAGGGAGCGATTTACATAGATTTCTTTTTCGCTCCTTTTTTGGCATTCCTGGGGCCGCTCAGCGGAAATGAAGCCCACTTTTATGGTTCATGTGCAAGGCCCTACAAAATGCAAAAAAACCATTTCGAAAAGGCGAGCACCCCTTAATCGACCTCCCTTGTAAGCACGCTTGTCCTTAGGGTATCAAGGTCCTTGTTATTAACTTTATAGGGCTCTCCTGAAAAGATGGGGCTGTACTGCCTCATGCGCTTGGTAATCTTTTTGCTGAACCAGTACATAAGGTTCGTCTCAAAATCGCATAAGGTGTTTGGTCGGTAACCAACTCCGAAATCCAGCAGCAGCACCACCACTGATTTTCCTTTCATAATGACCTATGTTTTCCTAAATTGCTCAAAAGTTTCCCCTCACAATGCTCGCATTCTCCCTGCCCCTAGTAACTGAGTTTGAAGACAGAGTGCATGCCTCGTAGTCTGCATTCGCAAAAAAATATACCACTTTCGTCAGTCGGAACGGCGAGATATAGAGACCAACGAGCGTGGTTATTGCAGCCACTGCAGCCACGATTTCTTTCACGCTCAGGGCACAGCATTCGATGGGGATTTTGG